AAATCCATGCTAAACCTCTAAACCCTAAAGTCGCTTCCATTTTCTCGTCCATTCTCAAAATCATATCCCTGAACCCATGTCCTCAAGAGGCGTGGCGCTGAAGGTCCGCGAGCTTCCATTCATTGGCCGAATCGCTTGGCCATGGCTCAGCAGATCAAGATGTAGAACCCTAAACCTACACCCTAAAACCTGAATCCTGAGGCCCTGTCCTCGTTACAAGCATGTTCACTACCTCCCGATAGCAGTGCTGCTTAGTACCGTCTTATACTACAGTAGCTACTGTATGAGAAGCGCCATATGACCAACATGCAAAAACATTGTGCTTACTCTGAGGGCAGAAATTGTTGCGAGACTGTATTGTTGGCACATGCGTCCGCCTGTTGACTAAAACGGCTGCCGCACGTGACCCCCGGAGTACAAACACAACGGCCAAACATGTGCAAGCAAGGATAGCTGGAGGCCACAAAGGCAAGATTTGATCAAACAAGCTACTGGCCCGCCTCTTCACCTATCCCCTGCATACCCCGAGACCATCCTCATCATCATCATAGACCTCCACCACATCCGGATGCATCCTGCTGGATGCATCCTGCTGGACGTGATGGCTACATGGTGAACTTTCAAACTGGATTCGGCCATCTATGTCTTTCAGGTCATATGAGCTATAGTCTAAACTCCTAGTATCCCCCCTAATAACCCCTGTAGTAATTCCCTATATAATCCCCCATATAACGCCCTTTAAGGAGTTTAGACTATGGCTCATATCACTGGAAGGTTCCATGTGTCAAAGCGTTGAAGCTCCTTGATGGCACATTGGACAACATACATGGGTGGTTGTCAAAATTATGGTCCCTTTTGGGGTCCCTATTATAATACGGCCCCTAATATTTAGGGTACCCAAAAAGGACCCATAATTTTGACAACCACCCACATGACTAGCAGTTGGGTGCATCTGTTCGAAATGCTGCAGCCCTAGGCGGACTATTGCCATTACTATTTCTATTGCTTGGGTGGACACCCCACCCTGTAATAGTGACCATAAGAAATAATAGTGATTGTATTGCGGGGCTCTTAAATTTCTATAACACCACTATTGCAGACTGGGGGCTCCACCTAAACTATTGCTAGTCCTAGAGCTTGTACGTATTGTGCTACTACGACCAATGCCACCCTCCACCATTACTCATTAGTAGTATCCTCCAGGAGCCCCCACCCTGTAATAGTGATACAATAGGACTATACGAGGGCCCTAGCATAATCACCACTATCCCTTATAGGCACTATTACAGGGAGGGGTCCACCTACAGCATTATAATTCTTACTGCTATGATTGAAGCAGCCAGGGGCTTTCCCAAAATTAGGTGTACCCCTGAAAGGGTTTATAAGTGTTTGTAAGGGTATCTAAGGATATCCAAGGTTTACGGCTCAGGCTTTCCCAAAATTAGGGGTACCATTTTGGGGGTCGTCATAACAAGGATTCTAGCATTTGGGGGGTCTAGGCCGGGGGGCGTCCCCCTCTTTTGGGAAACTACCAGCACTGGAAAAAAAAAGAGAGGCGTGCTCTTAGGCAGAGATGTTCTGTGGCTTAAGGTTTTTCCTCCTGTTGAAGGAAAACACGCGGACCTATTCCTTTTTTGTCGCTGCTCTGCCCCCCGAAAAGCCTGGATAGGCATTGTCTGAGGGCAATTGATGGCCTCAGCCCATAATAAAGTCAATAATAGTAACAATAGTGGTCACCATGATCAAACCTAGCGATCAGGATACTAAACATACCTACTTGAAGGAAACGATCATCCAAGTAGGCAACCTCAAAACTATGGTCTCTGTTAGAGTGACGACAGTACTACGGCACTTAGCACGTTGGAGTACAAATCTGGGCCTGTATTGTTGCAAGCAACCCTAGGGTTTCGGTGTAGGGTTTAGCCCCAAGGGGTAATAATAGTCTTGATCAAGGCGCTTAAGCCCTGGTACCTGCTAGATCTTAAGCCGCTCACAGTTGGCGCAGCACTCTCGAGGAGGGGTGGTGCCTGAGTGTGGCGACCATATGAGCTATGGTCTAAACTCCTTAAAGGGGGTTATATAGGGGATTATATAGGGGACTACTATAAGGGTTATTAAGGGGATACTAGGACTTTAGACTACAGCTCATATGGCGATATTACAGCAGATTTTCAGAATTGACTTGCTAGTATTGCTATACGTTGGGTGCAGAGAAAGCAACAACAACGTTAGTAAGCCAAGGCAAAGTGGGACGCAAAGAACCTCTAAAATGAAGACGACTACACAAGTAACTACACATTCTGGGTTTGGCAGGCCCAGCAAAGAGATCCAGTTTGGATTGTGTTTAGGGTTTAGGGTTTCTAGATCATATCCTGCTATACACATGCTTCCGCAAGTTCGGTTTCCATTGAGGGTCACTGATGGTGATGCTGGGGATTACAATTGGGGATGTCAGCCCCAGCCCCCGTCTGTGGAGTACGTCAAGCGAAACTTGTTAAACATGTTTTAAGGAACAAATCTCAAAACGCTACAATCTAGGGCTGAAAGCTGCTGAAGAGCGGTCTGCTGTCTTGCATTAGCCAGAATGTAGCAGAATTGTATATTGCACTTATATGAGGATATCGGAAAAGAGAATGGAAACTACTACATTATAATATGGTATTTTTTGAGGCATATTGAGGTTCTAGAAGGTAATAAGGGAATAGCATGACCATAGAATCGGGGTTCTATGCAAGGACCCCGAAGACATGGGCTCTCTTCGCTTCTGTAGCCTGCGTACCTGCCATGGCTTTCCCAGCCGCGCTCTTTGTTGCCTCGTTGCTGTGGAGTCTTTCTGTCAGATGAGCTGAACACCGATTTCAACTCACCGATGGCGGAAGCCAGTGAGACCATGAAAATCATGTGAGCTACTGTCTAAACTCCTAGTATCCCCCTTAATAACCCATATAGTAGTCCCCTATATAATCCCCTATGTATTCCCCCTTTAAGGAATCTAGACTATAGCTCATGTGAAGCATAATGAAAATTGGCTGCTCGCCGAAACAAAGCGGGGATCCGGCTTCTGGAAGAGCTTGAGGTTTGAAGTCTACTACTATACTAACCTTTATTTCCTTGAGCTTTGAAGTATACTACTATACTGGGCTTGGGTACTATCTGAAGCATCAGGGAGGTAAACTTAGGCCGATAACTTCTCCAGCTAAAAACAACTTTCACCGGAAACCTCCAGGCCTCATGTCGTGAACATCGCGGCACCTTTGTGTAGTGGAACAGCTGCAGTCTAGCCTTATGGTCTAAACCCTGAGCCCTGACCCTAAACCCGATTCCTAAGTCCCCAACTCCTGCAACCCTAAACATCCTCCGGAGTTGTGGGCTTAGGGATAGTAAAGAAGGAAGGTTGTCTAAAACATGTTGTCTTGTAAAGGTCTCGCAGTCATGCAAAAGGCCTGCTTAACAATTTAAACGCTGGCCATACTGCGGCTACTAGCAAGAATAGGAACAGAAATAATAACTATGATCGGAGTATTCATACGAATGGCAGTCATAATAGCAATAATAGTAATACTAATACTCACTATCAATAGTCGTAAACTAAATGCTAATAGAAACAATGGTAACAGAACTAATAGCAACCTTTCTGGAAGCAGCAGTCAGAACGAAGCTCATGCCGGATCCCTCTCCAGCTACTAGGGTAGGGTTTAAGGTTTAGGGGTAGATTTCGAGTTGACCCCCAGATAGGACAGACGCCCTAGGAAGGACTTGGCACTGGCAGGGTTTCAAGTAATGTTCAGGAACAAAGGAATTTCTTGGAGGGTCTGTCCTATCTGAGCCCCCCAGAATCTGAAAACAAATCAGCTAGCCTCTGGCAAATGCCATGCATACCTGGCCATTCCCAACTAGGATTCACATGGCCCTCTTCAAGGCTGAAAGGTCCCGAATATGCTGAGGGCATTGGCTGTTGACCCGCCCCAATATTCTAAGCGACTAACATAATATTCCCAGGCCCTAAACCCTAAATGACCCATTAGAATAGTTTCCATTTTATTTTCCATTTTCTCAATATGACCAGTAAAACCCTAAACCCTCACCCAAGCTTGCCATCTTGCCGGGGTGGTTTCTGCCCATCTGCATGCCTCGGAAGGGATTAGGGTTTAGAGTAGCAGACATAAGCTTTGGGAGCTGGCATATTATGATATTTCTCGGGTTCAGGTTCAGGGTTCAATTAAATTCGTATTCAGGGACTACAGCTTAGGTATACGCTGCTGTTCTACCTGACATGCTTCCAAAGTGATGATGTGGTCCTTGGTGTAGGATTCCCCCAGAAGTGATCCATGAGTTGTATTCCCCTTCATAACCCTATAGTAGTCGTTAGTCCCCTATAAAATCCTCTCTATAACCCCCTTTAAGGAGTTTAGACTGTAGCTACTTTGGGGTATGATGGGTCACAATTCCGGCCGCGCTGAGGCTTTGAGGTGGACACTGAAATTGTAGCATTATATGGGTGGTTGTTAAAATTATGGTCCCTTCTTAGATCCCTACTATAATACGGCACCTAATATTTAGGGTACCCAAAAGGGATCATCATTTTGCCAACCACCACATCTATCAGGCTAGGCATTGGGATCTGTTCTTGGGACAAAGGATGGCGTCCATTCACTCATGTCTGGATTCCTTAGGAAACCTCGTTAATCACATCGCGGAAATCAAAATTCAACCGCCTTATTCATGTAAGGACCCTGGTTGCATTTTTGTGGTGCACCGGGGTGAGAAAACTTGAGAAAGAACATTCCCCAAACCCTGTGATCTGGAGCAACGATGTTTTGCGACGCAGGCGCAGGAGGTTCCTGACCATCACGCCTGACATGGACGGTTCTCAGGCTTGCAAAGGCATGGGCCTTGGGAGTTTAGGGAGCTCATCAGGTCACGAGGGACACCTCAAGATGACTAGGCAAGCTCCGCAGACTAGGTCACATGTTCGGTTGAATCTCTATACTACTATACTACTATAGTCCTATTCTACGACTCAGCAGAGGCGTGCCTTTCGTGTTTTTTACCTCAAGCGCGCTCATGAGGACAAAGGGTACGATGTTGTCCCAATCTTTAGGGACCTGAGAATGGCAGGGCAAATGAGAGGAACAGCCACTGCTCCAAGAATTCCGGGACGCTTTCGGAATAGGGTTCCGCTGAGCCGGCGGCATCCATCTTGCAAATCCGGAATACCTCATGGTGAAGGCGCAATTTCGAGAGCTAGAATGGTCGCCATACCTATGGGCATGCATTATTCGCTTTTCTGAAACTGGGGGTTATGCAAGAACGCTACACTGAGATGCGCGATAAGATGGAAAAGAACTAGCGAAGAATCTAAGCCGCCGGCGGTCATGTAAGTTTCCTTGGCTGCCGTGACCCAAGTTTAATGACATGGCTGCAGATGATTCCACCGGCTGCAGTGCATATTTCGTCAGAACTACTGACTCTTTTCAACTTCCACAGCTTATACCATTGCTTGCCACCATTGCTTGCCGATCCCCCTGGCATTACCACCCGCCACAACATGCCACACTTGAACCGTCAGACTTCAATTGCAGAACCAATGCTTAAGCAGATATGGAACAACTTTGAAAGCAGTGCTTAAAAAGCACCCATAACATTCCGCTGTCTGTTGCAAAACAACGCCCGGAGCTTCATAGTCAACTTTCCTGCAAGGGCTACAGCCTCAAGGGCTTGCATCAGCCCCGAAGACAAGCTGCGAAATAAAACAAAGTCCAATGTGACCGCAACACATTTGTTTGCATATTCACTTCTTTTCAGTGGCTCCTATGACCCTGACTCTCCATAAAAGGAGTTTACATGCTGGCTCGCCTGAAAGCGCGGGGCATCTTAGGGATTTTCAAGCTGAGGCTACTTGGATCGGAGACTTGGGGTGTCGGCCGAGCTTCTTCGGCATGCCAGCATGAGGAGCACCAGCCGTCTTCGCATGAATATCGCACCTGAGTTGTGCAAAGCTTTGGGGTCAGCTTCATTACTACGAGTACTACCATTACTTGCTATTATTTTCACTACTAGTATTACTTGGGAGGCTGGCCAGCATGGAGCGAAGTGTGCTCAGCACAACCTAGTACAACCTTGCCGAGGTGGCTGACAGACAAGTAATCCCTTCCCACTAAGATTAAAACACCCTGCAATATGCCCCAGACATTACAGCATGCGTAAATGGGAATATTCAATTTTAGGGGGAGCGGCTGTTGAATCATTATTCGCGGAGGGGATTACTGTTTTGCAAGTACCGCAGATTCTGTGTCAAGTCTTCTTGTCCTTGCCTTCAGTGCACAATTTGAAGTGAAGTTGGATCCACCTAGGTTGCTCAGGGTAAAGCAGTTGTTCGGCCACACAGGAACCATATCCTGCATAGAGATACATCTCAACAGCCACGCCTGCAAGACTTCCTGAGAAGTCCCAGATGAAGTTCAGCATCCTAAACCCTAAACCCCTCGCTTTCAGGGCTACCTTTGGCCCTAAACTAGGCTTATCCTCCGGTTAGCTCATCCTTGAATTCCGGTTGCAGTGGCAGTGGCCAGAAGAAAGCGAACCAACAAGTGGTAGAAAAGGAGGGGTGTGCTCCTTGCTAGTGGTTGGTGGTGGGAGCCGTCCAGGGGGTGGTAGCTTAGAAGTCATGAGACCCCAACGCACTCTGCAGTCCTTTCAACTACAAAGACCCCTCAAAACGGAGCACCCCGATGTCTAGGCCAGTTTCACATTGTGCCCATTACTCCACATGACATCCAAGGAGACGAACCCATGAAACCTGCGAAAACATCGGCTTAAGTCACCGTTCTAAGCTTTACACCTAAGCTTTGCACTCAAAAAAGGCAACGGCAAAAGAATGGCGCAGAACCCTTGTGCAAAACGTCAAGACTTCTACGAGTATACTTGGGCGGCTCACCTACGCCTTCTGATCTTTATAACCACCTGAGCAGCAGAACTGTTGTGCTTGCCTCTTCCGCATATGCAATGACGTCCCTACATATTAATATACAACATTCCATCCGTGAACCTTGGGCACCCTATTGAAAGCCCGTGATTAATCAACCCCCTTCCCTTAATAGGGATTGTATCTAGGGTCCTAATGTTAAGGCCCTTATGCCCTAAACCCTAATGGGGATCCAATATTAAGGCCCTCCAAAGGAGGGGAGCCTAGTACTCGCGGGGTCTTCATTAAGCTTGTCTTATGCGGAATCCTAGCTTCCGAGCCCTCAGCTCCTGAAAGCCGGCATCCTGAGCCATGAATTTAGGCCCTAAACCTTAGGATAGGGTTATATAGGGATAATGGGAAACAAAACGGAAACTACTATTAATCCTATAATCCCCTCCCCCTAGTATTGAAACCCCCCTACCCCCCCCCCCCCTTAAGGCTAAATGCTCCCCACTGTGGTATGTTATAACATATTGGGAATCGTCAATGCGAAGGGGGGTGGAGGGTTTATTAGGGGAGGGGATTAATGCCCTTGAAACTTCAAAGGTCTACATCCCGCTATGAAGCTTAAATGAGTTGTGGGCAAAGCTACACACACACACACACCTTGATAGATCCCTAGAATAAGCAGTCCACGAAGGGCCTCTGATTTCCGCGAAACCCTGGACTCTTCGTTCCGCTCTCCCTGTGATACGTACGTAGGACCCGTACACATTAGACACCTCCGGCAAAATTCTGAATCTAAGTGCCCATCATATGGCTATGTCGTAGATCTAAATGTTTCCTTATAGAGTAACTTATTTTAAGCTCCTTACCAGCAATCCGATAGCCTGCAACTTGGTCTGTTCCGAGCCCTTGCGACGAGTGGCGTTGGCACCCAAGGTTTCCTCACAAGCCTAGGGGATCCAGGATTCCAGGTTATATTGGCGTAATGGAAAATACAATGGAAACTACTATAATGGGGTTATATAGGGTTTAGGGTTTAGGTTATATTGGTGTAATGGAAAATATAATAGAAACTAGTATAATGGGGTTATATAGGGTTTAGGATTTAGGTTATATGAGTGTAATGGAAAAGAAAATGGAAGCTACTATAATGGGGGTTATATAGGGTTTAGGGTTTAGGTTGTATTGGTGTAATGGAAAATAAAATGGAAAATAGTATAATGGGGTTATATAGAGTTTAGGGTTTAGGTTATATGGGTGTAATGGAAAAGAAAATGGAAGCTACTATAATGGGGGTTAGAAAGGGTTTAGGGTTTAGGTTATATTGGTGCAATGGAAAATACAATGGAAACTACTATAATGGGGTTATATAGGGTTTAAGTTATATTGGTGTAATGGAAAATATAATAGAAACTAGTATAATGGGGTTATATAGGGTTTAGGTTATATTGGTGTAATGGAAAATATAACGGAAACTACTATAATGGGGTTATGTAGGGTTTAGGGTTTAGGTTATATGGGTGTAATGGAAAAGAAAATGGAAGCTACTATAATACATCGGGGCTATAATGGGATAATGGAAAAGAAAATGGAAACTACTATGGTATAGATTGGGGTTATAATGGGATAATGGAAAAGAAAACGGAAACTACTATGGTATATTTTGGGGTTATATGTATAATGGGATAGTAGAAAAGAAAAGGGAAACTACTATGGTATATTTTGGGGGTTATAGTGGGATAATAGAAAATAGAAACTACTATTTACAGTTAAGTGCGGGTTTTTGCGGCATAACGTTTAGGGTAGAGGGTTCAACAATATTAGTACCCTGTTTAGAGCCTCTGTGAAACATGAGCCTGTCTTAGACTGATCCGCCCCTGTACAGGAGGACCCGTATGATTAGCTCTCTTATGACCTTGAGAAACTATCAGAAAGGATGCTGCAGGGACTCGAAGGTTTCCTGTGACATTTACTGACTGGAGACATCTTGAACAACTTCTCTTTGGCTCCTGTACGATGAACCCTGGGTAATGGAACCACTGGCCAGAAGGGCCCTCCGGGTTACGGGTGGTAAGCCACGAAGCCTAAAGATCCAGAGCGCTGGACAGTCCTACGTAAGACTGACCCCAATTCTTGAGAAGGCGCTCGCAGAAGCGCATTCCGCTTGTAGGTCGCCATTTTCAAAGATGGCTTCCAAATGATTTTGACCTTAGTTTGAGGCATTCGATGCCATACACTAAGTGACCCTGTAGGATATTTAAATTACGCATTGTCAGAAATACTATTACGAGTATTACTGATCTTGTTATATTGTTTAGATTACTATTGTTAGGGTAACCTGCGGTTTAGGGAAACTTGCGATTTCGACCTGTTCTCCGGGCATAGGCCTCAATGCGACTTCTGGCAAAGCCTTGTGTAAAAACAGACCCATGAGCTACAGTCTAAACTGCTGGAACGTGGGTTATCAAAGGGAGTATTATAAGGCTATGAAGATTATTAAGGGGGATACTAGGAGTTTAGGGTATAGCTCAGACGCGCAAGGCAGGATGCCACTGTTTCAGTGCGGGTTCCCTGGTCCCTGCCGCCTGGGGGTTTCCCTTTTGGGGATCCCCCAAAAAAGGATTATACCATTTTTGGGTTGACCTTGGGGTCCCCCTTGCTAAGGCCAGGGAATCTACCACCCATGATGCTTCGTAGTTGTGCTTTTGCTTGTGGCCAGCAGTCCATTGGCGTCGAGAAACCTCCAGCTTCAAGCCCTGAACTCTGGGTCCACAAGCGGAACACCCCGAACAACTTTAAGTTTGTCTATGATTTGAGGGTTGTGGGTTTAAGGGTTTAGGGTTTAAAAGTTTAGGGCTTTCTCCAAGCCCTGAACACTGAGACCCCAGCAGGTCCTCGCAAGTAGTCGCGAACCAGCTTTAGTGTGACCGTGTCGCCTGCCAAGATTCGGCGAGATGTGCTCCCTTATAAGCCTAAATCCTAAATGGCAGTTCCATTTTCCATTATTCCCAACATAACCCCAATATAACCACCAAAATCGTCCACACCATGGGGGATTTCAAACAAGGGGCCCTCAGGAAACCCAAGGATGTAGGGGGAGTGCAACGGGATTGTGGTGCTGCCCGTGAAGGGCTGTAAAAGGTCCAAAAACAATAACAGCAATAATAGCAATAAGAACAGTAAGAAGAATACTACCAATAAAAGTAGAAGTTTGAGAACCCCCAAGTTGGGGCTGTCTCAACATGAAAGTTCTACTTTACCGGAGTTGTTTTTCACAGCATCTCGCAGGGGCTGTGAAAAGCCCGCCGATTTCCCCCAACATAAGCTACAAGGGTTCCCATGAAGGGCCCCTCCTATCCTCATCGGATTTGTAGAAGTTTGCTGGACTACGCCATGTCATGCCATGTCTGCGATACGTAGACCGGCTAGCGTACGATCACGGCGTTTCCATCCTTGCCTGCTCCCTACTACTATGCAGCCCTCAGCCCTCAAACCTACACCTCTAGATCGACCCTCTCCCAGCCCCTTGCATCTGACAACAACGATTCAAACAGGTCTGGCGCCTTCGGACTCCTTTACTAGCTGCGAGACGGTTTTCAAATCGCCGCCTGCCACATGCGCGGCGCGCGTCAGTACTGGTGAAAAAACATGCTTCAGGACACCGCACCATGTGCGAAAGCTTTGGGGAACCCATCTTCAGCAGAGGGGGGATTGCGTGATTGAAGAAGAATCGCTGAAGTGCATGCGGGAGTGGCTCCATGCCTGCCACCCATTAACAGTCTGTGCTAGGGGTCATATTAAGGACTCCATGTAGTTATATTATAAACTGTTAATGAGTGGGGGATGTATCCAACCCATCGCTTCTTTCTCGCTCTCGAACTGCTGCCCTTCCTTTGCAATTTGGCTTGGACCACATTCTGCAGGATATTACGCTGCGGTGGACTATGTTTTGCCAGGTCAACAAATTCCCCCCGTTTGCAGCAGCAGTCGGCGGAGCTTTGACACTCCAACAATCTCAGGTATTGATGAGCTACGCTGCAGCCCATGTTTTTAAGGTAAAAGATGCAATTACCCCGAGTTGGGACAATTTCCTGTATAAACCACCATTTGGGTGAGTAATCCGCCTAGCACATGAGCGTGATCATCTTGCACAGCATTAGTATCTCTGCCGACACTGTTGCGGCAGCATGTTTGATTGTAATCTTTCCGGCTTGCTATCGAATACCGAACTATTTGGCATGAGTTCACGCATATCAGTGTGTTGCCATCAAAGTAAACATCTCCAGAGTATGACCCAGCACCAGGGCCCCGAGCTTAAACCAACATGCTCGAGATATCAAAGCCTCCACAACTCCATGTGAAACGAGCGCAGTTCATAGCATGTTTGCAGCAACCTCAGCAAGTAGTCTCAAGCAAGTTGAGCATAAAGTAAGAATAGTAGCAATAGTAGTAATAGTCGGAATCATAGTAATAGTAGTCATAATGGCAATAATAATAATGATAATAATAATAATCGTAATTAATAAAACTTCAGGGGCATAGGGGAGCAGAGCCACATATTTTTGCCATTGCATTCATACTTATGTTACCCTCTGGAGCTACTGCAGCGCATGCAATCCCTCAGCAACACTTCAACTTTAACTATATCCTTTCGGGTCTGTACATTACGCTTGCTAGTCTTTTTCTCGCTAAGGTACAGCACCTCTTGATTATGCCATATGTATACATACACACATTTTGGGTTGTGTGCAAAAACCGGGCCAGACGTTTAGTGCATGCACAAATCATCATTGGGGAAGGTTATAGATTATAGGCTTTAGGGTTTTAGGGGGCACCTAATATTTAGCGATGCCAAATAATGGGACCCCAATCTGGACACCCAGGTAGCAAACGAAGCCTTCGCAGAAGGTGCCGTTTACGGCTACCACCTCGTCACCCTCCAGCACAAACATGCCTTCTGCCTGAGCGCTGGGCCTAGAGGTTTAAGGCTTAAGGGTTGAGGCATTTGAGGCTTTGGGTTCAGGGATTTAAGTTTAAGGTTTTGGGTCTAGTTTCCCAAGCCCAAAGTTTTCTAAACACCAAAAACCCCAAACCCTCAAGTCTTGGTGACTCTTTTCTCCTGTCTGTTCCGAAAGCTACACAGGAGCGAAGCTCCGTCATCACATGGGGTTTCCCAAAATTATGGGTGCCTTTAAAGGGGTTGTAGGGGAAACATAGGGGTCATTTAGGGATCTATAAGTATTAGGGCTTCCAAAAATTATGGGTGCCTTTAAAGGGGTTGCAGCTGATACATAGGGGCTATATAGGGATCTATATAGTTTAGGGCTTCCAAAATTTAAGCGTACCTTTTCCCAAGTGTACGTATTGTAGTATTTTCCCTTATTGAGAGAAACTACCACATGTGTTGGAGAATGCCACAACAATAAATCCAAGTGGCATCGTTGAGCAACACCTCAGTGTTCCAAAGGTCCTGAGCTGCATAATGCAAGGGCCTCAATAATTACCAACATCATCTTGAGGTTTGTTTGAGTTACCTGTACCATGGTGATACAAGAAATCTAGGACCATAATATTGGCCATCATCAAGGCCCCTCATATTACTTTTCGTGTTTGCTTTCAAGGGGCACCTCGGCTGCCTTTGGACGCATGCCCTGCTGCCACGATTTCAAAGAGAGCCTACGTCAGAAGGAGTAGTTCAGGGGCCTACACAAATACCCATATCATACCAGGAACCCGAAACCATAATGTTTGTACCTAATTAAACCCCTACACTACCATCCCTTTTCACACCCGATATAACCCGAGTTTCCACGTCGTTTTCCCATTTGACTCTCCAGTTCTTGGGAATATTGGCAATTATTCTACATGATGTGGTAGTTTCCGTAAATAGGGGACCCCACAATAGACCCCAACGGACTATAGCCTTTACTACGGAGACCCGAAAATCATACACCTGATTTGAGGAAACCCTACATTGCCCTACATGTAAGTTTCCCTTGATTAATACAGGAATGATCCCAACATAGACCCCCACATACTATAATCCTCATTATTGGAACCCCCCCCCAAAAAAAAATGGTATCCCTACTTTTGGGAAACCCTAAGCCCTAAACCCGGTACATCCTGATATACCCTCATAAAACCCTTATAAACCCCCTTTGTGGGTAGCCTCTAATTCGGGAAATTCCTACATCTCGATGAAGGTCTCAGCCGAGGCTCCGTGTTGCCGCCTCAGGGTCTCAAAGGCTAGGAAGTATGAGCCGCTACTATGAGCTACTGTCTAAACTCCTAGTATCCCCCATAGTATCTCCTATGGTAGTCCCCTACATAAGCCCCTATATAACCTCCTTCAAGGAGTTTAGACTGTAGCTCATATGGTATCGGGTTTAGGGTTTAAGTCTTTAAGGTTGGAAGTATGGGCGCATAATATGGGGTTTAGGGTTAAAATCTCTGAGGTTTGAAGTATGGGCGCCTAATATGGGGTTCAGGGTTTAGGTCGCTAAGGTAAAAAGTATGGGCCCCTAATATGGGCCCTTAGGCCTCTTAGAAGAGTCTGGGAACCTTTATATAAGGTATAGCATAGGTATTTGAGCTATAGTCTAAAATCCTAGCAGCCCCCTGACAACACCTAAAAAAGCCCCCTACATAATCCTCTATATGACCCCTAATTTCAGGAGTTTAGATTTTCGCTCATATAAGGATCAGAGGGCTAAGGGCCCATAATAGGAGCCCATGGGTTCAACCTTAGAGGGTCAAGCCCGCAAGGACCCCATCAGCAAAGTAAAGTAGTGTGTTAGCAGCATTTGTCCCACCTATAGGGGTTTTGGGGCTGTAGGGTGTTAGTAGCATTTGCCACACCTTTAACCTCAAGCCTCTACCTGAATTTCCAAGCTTCTCCCTGCTTCCGGCCTTTTTTGATGCCCGCGATGCCCACGCCTGGGCGATTTGGGAACTCCCTGGGCGTTACTCCCAGTGGCTTTGGGATGGTCACGTCGAAGACAGCACGGCCACCTTCAATCCGCTTCCTGAGCGGTTCAGGGTTTAGGGCTTAAAGTCTAAGGCTCAATTGCAGGTCATGCCCTGACAAAACCAGACACCCCCCCACCCTCCGACAATAAATATTCCGACCGTCGTGCAATGTGAAGATCGGGGAATGTTTAGCATTTTGAGAGGGGCAGGTGATTACCATGATGCAAATTTGGAGGTTTCGTGCGGGATACGGAGTCTCTAAGTTCGGCGCAGATTCTAGTGCTTGCTCGTCTCGCTCTCTCTCTGATAACCATCGAAGTGCCGTTGCTTCTCTTTGATTTGCGATGCTGAATCTGAGTGGCTGTTCCTTCTTAATTGTATAGCGTGCTGCTAGTGACTGCCAGTGTCATCCATGGTTCAAGCTGCAACTGTTACCTTTCCAGCTGGCTCCCAGGTGAACTTTTGCAGGGTTTGAGCTTCCTCGATCCTAAATCGTAGCTTCTTAAGAGTCGCCGGGGCGCACGCGGTTGTTCCACTGTGCCACGGTGGCCCGACGTGCCAGCACATTTCTGCGAGCTGCAACACCGAGGGCCTGTTAATGGTGAGGGGATGTGAGAGGCCATTACACAACATGGAATTTCGGCTGTTCCCGGAATGATACTTAGCAAAGCATGCAGCAATACTTGACATGTGGGAATTTGACATTCAAGCTTTTGAAATACATCTAGCAAAAAAGGATCTCATCTTGAAAGCCCAAGAAGCCCCCAAAGCTAGAGCCGTCAGCGGTGCCGCCGACCCCCCTGAAGAAGGGAGCTGTGGTTGCGGTGGGCTACCTCGCAGGTGGTGTCGTGCGGGGTTGTGAGCTTGCAGAAGAAAATAGACATGTCATGACAATGTTGCTAGCTGCAGGAATTCTAGACATTTAGGCCCACGCAATGCTGCGCAGAGGGTGCTCTAAACTCTAGAGCATGGAAAACCCTCTCTGAAAATACGCTGAGCCCGGCGCTGCATCTGTATCTAGCCTGGGTGTTTAACTGCACCCTGCTTGAGAGCCATGGAGATGGTGCCAGGAATGTCTGGGACCATGCGCATGCTGCCAACACGGCTGCGAGGAACGCCTTGGAGGCAAGGCTGAAGAATCAAACTCTCTACAGTTCGTGGTGACTCATAGAATTATGCCCTGCAAAACGACGCTACAGATTCCTATCTTTACGACTGCTGTTATTCTTCTTGCTGATTCTTATTGCCGCATTATTTGCACCATTGATCTTTTCACTCCTCAGCTTGATCTGACCACATCCCCGTAAGCGCACCGCGAACTGCAATGCAGCATATCTTCCTGCTGAGGAACAGCCGCAACCACTGGCGTATGTGCCGACATGGAGACGAAGGCCAATCTACCGCATGGCTGGAGCTGAAAGAATCTTGGGACGCGCAAGGTGGGAGCGACCACAAGCAAAAGAATCACAACCACCATCACCACCGCCGCCGCTGTTGCCGCTGCGGTCGCTGCTGCTGCTGCTGCTGCTGCTGCTGCTGCTGCTCGTCTTCTGATGCTTTACGTTTCTTGTGGTGGTCGTCGTCGCTGCTGATGAAGACTGGCGTTAACATCCTTCGTTGCAGCTGTGCCGTGGCTCTCTGCATTAACCATGAAACACGATTGATTGATTACAATTGATTGAGCTTGACATCGAATGTAGTTGAGAAGAATATTCAGTACCTTGGTTCCTGCATTGACTTTGCAGTGTAAGAGCTCAAGGTTTCTTGCAGGGTTGACCTGCCTCAACTTGCTGAAGACAGTTCAGGCTTTAGGGCTCGGGATGTAGATTCGGGCTGTTGAGGTCTCTGTGAAACTGGGAAACGTCAGTTGTAAGGGATTGGAAGCAGAGAACAGCAGGGAAATTGCACCCCAGTGCTCAGGCCTTTAGGTCGCCAGGCTTAAGCCCTAAACCCTAAATCCTTAAGCCCAAGCAGAAGGGGACGAACTGTGTTCCTGCGTGGGTCTTTTGATATCTTGACACGCCAACAGTTTCACACTTTCCGAACAAGAGGTCCTCAAACAGCATACTACGCATATGGTGATTCTCCTTGTGCACCACCCTTCCCTAGATCTTGAACGCTTCATACGAGTTATCTTTACCTAATAGGTCTACAAAAGCCACATCCCTGGGCCCGAATCACATTGGAGCCGTTTGGAAGGAAAGGCCAAAGACAACTCTGAGCCACTCGCCGCAGTGGGCGCTAGTAGGGTGAATATCTCGGAGCCTCAGAATCGGCCAAGGAGATTCAAATTCTGGATCCCCCTCTTGGGATCCTTGAGTTAATTGGGAGGGCAGGGCATTATGTTGCGAATTATGCGAATCTGCAGTGGCCATCCCTTTATGTGAGCAGATTGGGGCTTCGGACAGACAAGGCTTCAACAATCGCATGCGTGGTCGCAACCACTGGTTGAAGCTACGGATAGCTTCAAGCCAGAGAAATACAATTTGGTGCGTGGTAGGGCAGGGCCAAATCGATGCCAGGAACAACTTCGAGGGATGATGTATAGTCCCCCTTAAGTAGATAGAATATGGCTTCGGGTATATTCTAATAAGATCCCCATATACCCCATAGTTTATCTACGTAAGGGGCACTGCGGGTGCTGCGACTGGGGTCCATTCCCGTCCTCTCCACTCAGGATATTGAGTGCTAGCTACTTGACTCCGACCCCTCCAAGCTTGGACTCAAATCCCAGGCAGGATGGAGAAAGCAGTGCCCCATGTCTTGTACACCGCTGCAGCATGACTCTTAAAAGCACTTACCTGGGATCTGTAGCTTGGGGGAGACATGTCTCAGGCTTCGGCGAAGGCCCCATTGCCTTGGCATTTTGCAAGCTCACATTGGAAACGGGCACACTTGGGGTCGCAAGGCATCTATGCAAGCGGCTAACAAAGGGATGATTGTCTCTATCTTTTTGACGGCTGCGAGAAAGGATTTTCTGAGAAGCACTCCACTAGAGCTGTTCCTTATGAGGAAGCCTTTTCGGATCGCTTTAGAAATGCCTGCTAGGACAACGGCCTTCAGAAAAAAAAGTGGCAGGCGCGGGTGATCAATGGAATGTGCAACCCGTCTTGCTATAAGATTCAAAATGGTCCAAATGCAGTCCCTCGACATTGGGAAAGCTTAAGGGCAAGTTTCTTTCATCCCTGGATAAAACTTGTCTGCTCTTACTGAGGCAGTCACCTCCCACTGGTCCGCCTACTGGTCCTCCTACTGGTCCTCCGACTGGTCCTCCCACTGGTCCTTTGCCACAGCCATTGGTCCAGTTGCCTCCGCCCCCTCCTGACAGGGCATCTTGTATTTGACCTTACACTTGTACTCCTGCTCTTGCTCCCTGCCAGCAATGCTACTTTTGCTGCCACGGCGGCAACGCTGATAACTACTATTACGCCTATACCACAAAAACTATACTAATTACGCCAATGCAACTAGGACGACAAATACGACGACTGCGACTGAAACTAATACGAAGATTAAAATAAGTGATATTGCTCCTGCTTTCCACACCTCCTCCTTCTGCTGCCTGAAACAAGCAATCAGTCCTCCGACTTAACCCAAAAGCCTACTGTTATGCCTTTAGCCCTGTACCGCAAACCCCTGCTCAAAACCTTCAAATGAACACCGAAGTCCCTGTCCTTTGCCCTTGGGAGCTGGTATTCCCTGGCCAGCCTAGGATTCGGAGGCTTTGGATGTAGGGTGTTTTTCGAACAGTGGCATGGCACACAGCGCAGGGTAAGGCGGATGTCCAGAACGTCGGGTCCAAATGTTGTTCTTGGGAGAGGATAACCACGTTTTTGAGGATGAGGCAAAACATTCTAACGACGCTGGGCCAGTTAAAAGATTTAGATACGGCATGTTTGTCTTGTCCAAGCGCAATGCGTCATACCTCGTCTTGGTGGTCTTCTTGATGGGGGTCGAGTGGCTTCAGACGTAGAGCAAAATGCAACTGTTGGCCCGGCATACCCACAAGGTACGAGTACATTTTTGACCTCCCAGCCTAGAGCACTCACATTCTGCTATCCTGATGCTTCCAGAGAAGATGAACTGAGGATCCTCAAAATGGTCCCTGGAGAAAGCCCCAAACAAAGCATAGTCCCTCACATAAGGATCCCGAAGACAAGTTCCTGATTCATGGTCCCTGCTGACCTGAAGTCTACTTCATTCATCACTCTTATCAGCTGCATGGAGAACCCCAGTCCACACCAACAAGATATATTCCGATTGAACTTCGAAGCCTACATGCCTAGCCTACTAACCCTTGCTTCTCTTTCTTCGCATGTGGGCTCGCACATAAACAATGGACCCGTATGGGACCTTTACACCCAGCGGCTGGGAAAGGACTTTGATAGATCCGCTTTGGGGTTCCATGTTAACTTAGCAGAGTATGTACCCCAAACCCTACACCCTATATGTATATATATATATATATCACTACTCACCTATATACCCCTGATACTTTCCTTGTACACGCTTCGTCGGCTCATGTGGAAAGTTATCCCTAAATAATCTCTCGCAGGGACCCCTGAAATCTCCATATAATCCCCACATAAATCCTACACCCTAAGCTCCCGAATTCGGAGTGTAAGAGGATGGCTGTCCCCTCAGGCCGAACATCTTCGGCGCGGGGTCGACCAGTTTTTCCTTGGAACTCCCCTACAGCAGGATGCCCACTAGTGGACACGGGACCAATCAGCTTGCAAAGGTTTCTCTAAGGAGAGAACTAACAGATTTGAAAACTTGGGAGTTTAGGATTTTTAGGCCTCGGGATGATACATCTGGGACCAAAGAAACATTATTTTAGGACTCCCGATTGGTATTTGGAGTAGCTGTGCATGGGTGACGCCCATGCTGCAGCATCTCTGCAGAGCGCCAACTCTAGCCCGCGGGCCATTCCACTCAGTAAAGCCTACTGTAGGGGGCTAAATAATTTCCAATGTCACTTTGAGGTCTATTTGGGGTACCTGCCACAAATATACATGGAATCTAGACCCAACATGTCGGTAACTCTTTCGGCTTCTACTCTATGAGTAGCTGAGTCTCCAAGGGCGCGAGGTCGATTTCGATTCTGGCAGTACATTGGGTCGGGTAGAAGATGGTTATCTCAAATCATTATGCACCGGTTGCTCCAAAAGGTCCCCTTAAAGGAGGGACCACTGAGAATATGCTTCCTTAAAAGGAGATCCTAACCAAAAAGCCGGGACTTCCCTTTCGGCCATACCATGTATGTGAGAGCTTGGTAGCATGCGACCTTGCAACTGCCATCGATGACGTTGGTAGGTGTTGCTCATATTGCTTCATCACTGGACGCGTATGATGACTACTGTTGTTGCTGCTGTCCCTGGTAGTAGCATTTGCTGAACTTCGTAAAGTAGCGGACTTATCTCACTCAGTTCTTCTGACCCCAATCACCCAAATCCTGAACCCTCAGCCCTAACCCTATTTCCTGAATTCAAACTGCTAAGCCCTCTGAGCCCTGGTCCATCTACGACCACCGCGTAGCTAACGCGGGTGCCTTCCGGCGGTATGACCTCAACATAATCCACTTAGGGCTACCGCAGCAACTCTCACCACAGTTTAGGTTCCTCAGAGATTTGGAACAACCCTTCTTCGCATGCAGGACTGCGCGGAGTTCGACAAACCATGATATGCGCTCATAGCCTCGTTCCAGCGAATTGATGGTCTCGTATATTCCATTATTGAGTGGCTCCGCTCAAGAAGCTCCAATACCAGGATGCCATTCATTCACCGTCCGATGTTTCCACCAGCCCTCGCCCAAAGCAGATTCCAACAGCTGCCCCACTCTTCAATGCTCTTTATGTAAGAGTGAGGGGCAGTAAGAGGCATAGATATGTGGGGTACCACACTTAGTGTTGATTAGAAACTGTGAAAAGCTAGCTGCAGTACCCGCGATGCTCTCGGTGACAAGGAACAAGAGCCCAAATGGTGGCTAAAAAACCGTAAACCCTAAAACCAGCAGCAATCCGCACCCAGATGGTCCACAACAATCCCTGGACTGGCTGGGAAGACATCTTCACGGGATGGCCGTCGCAGATTTCTTTCATGGACGTCGCTCAGTTCATATTTCTGCTTGTGGGAGGACAGGACCCAACCCATCAGTTGCAGCCTGCTTGAAGCATCCTTAACCTTAACAGAAGAATGTGAAGGGCGAGGACCGGCAGGGAAATTTGTCTAATCTTGCACGGACGGGAATAGATACACAAGAGATATCAACTTGAACCCCTTCCACTCAGGAACCAGGGAAGGTCACAATTCCAGACATGTGCTACCTATCCTGGTTTCAAGAAGAGGTAGTTTCCCTAAACAGGGGGAGCCCGATATAGACCGCAGAATGCTTTACTTGGAGGGTCAGGGGGACTTAGTAATTAGGTTAATAACACCCAAAACCCATATAGTAATCCTAGTTATCCTTAACCTACTTACTTAGTCCCCGCGACCCTCCAAGTAGCCCTTATCATGGGGACCCCCAACAGGGTAACCCTAATGTCGGAAACCCCGAGGATGCTAGGAGCCAGTGACTGTAGGAAGGCTAGAGCCCAATGGTTCTCATAATCTTTGCCCAAGGCTTCTCTGGGAATTTTATAGGGGTTATATAATTCATATAGGGATATCTACAGATTATATAGGGAGTTGGGATTTTTGGATTTACTGTTCAGGGAGCTTGTCGGGGGGTTAGGCTATTTGGTCTTCTAACTCGTGCTATTTGTTTGCTGACTATCAGTGTCCTCTTGCTGACGCAGAAATGCTCAAGAAGATCTGTGCCTGGGGCCAACAATAATCTGGGCTGCTGTTAAGGA